GTTCTAGTTCAGTTCTAGTTCAGTTCTAGTTCAGTTCTAGTTCAGTTCTAGTTCAGTTCTAGTTCAGTTCTAGTTCAGTTCTAGTTCAGTTCTAGTTCAGTTCTAGTTCAGTTCTAGTTCAGTTCTAGTTCAGTTCTAGTTCAGTTCTAGTTCAGTTCTAGTTCAGTTCTAGTTCAGTTCTAGTTCAGTTCTAGTTCAGTTCTAGTTCAGTTCTAGTTCAGTTCTAGTTCAGTTCAGTTCAGTTCAGTTCTAGTTCAGTTTCTAGTTCAGTTCTAGTTCAGTTCTAGTTCAGTTCTAGTTCAGTTCTAGTTCAGTTCTAGTTCAGTTCTAGTTCAGTTCTAGTTCAGTTCTAGTTCAGTTCTAGTTCAGTTCTAGTTCAGTTCTAGTTCAGTTCTACTTCAGTTCTAGTTCAGTTCTAGTTCAGTTCTACTTCAGTTCTAGTTCAGTTCTAGTTCAGTTCTAGTTCTAGTTCAGTTCTAGTTCAGTTCTAGTTCAGTTCTAGTTCAGTTCTAGTTCAGTTCTCAGTAGTTCAGCTAGTCAGTTAGTTCAGTTCTAGTTCAGTTCTAGTTCAGTTCTAGTTCAGTTCTAGTTCAGTTCTAGTTCAGTTCTAGTTCAGTTCTAGTTCAGTTCTAGTTCAGTTCTAGTTCAGTTCTAGTTCAGTTCTAGTTCAGTTCTTCTAGTTCAGTTCTAGTTCAGTTCTAGTTCAGTTCAGTTCTAGTTCAGTTCTAGTTCAGTTCTAGTTCAGTTCTAGTTCAGTTCTAGTTCAGTTCTAGTTCAGTTCTAGTTCAGTTCTAGTTCAGTTCTAGTTCAGTTCAGTTCTAGTTCAGTTCTAGTTCAGTTCTAGTTCAGTTCTAGTTCAGTTCTAGTTCAGTTCTAGTTCAGTTCTAGTTCAGTTCTAGTAGTTCTAGTTCAGTTCTAGTTCAGTTCTAGTTCAGTTCTAGTTCAGTTCTAGTTCAGTTCTAGTTCAGTTCTAGTTCAGTTCTAGTTCAGTTCTAGTTCAGTTCTAGTTCAGTTCTAGTTCAGTTCTAGTTCAGTTCTAGTTCAGTTCTAGTTCAGTTCTAGTTCAGTTCTTTCAGTTCAGTTCTAGTTCAGTTCTAGTTCAGTTCTAGTTCAGTTCTAGTCAGTTCTAGTTCAGTTCTAGTTCAGTTCTAGTTCAGTTCTAGTTCAGTTCTAGTTCAGTTCTAGTTCAGTTCTAGTTCAGTTCTAGTTCAGTTCTAGTTCAGTTCTAGTTCAGTTCTAGTTCAGTTCTAGTTCAGTTCTAGTTCAGTTCTAGTTCAGTTCTAGTTCAGTTCTAGTTCAGTTCTAGTTAGTTCTAGTTCAGTTCTAGTTCAGTTCTAGTTCAGTTCTAGTTCAGTTCTAGTTCAGTTCTAGTTCAGTTCTAGTTCAGTTCTAGTTCAGTTCTAGTTCAGTTCTAGTTCAGTTCTAGTTCAGTTCTAGTTCAGTTCTAGTTCAGTTCTAGTTCAGTTCTAGTTCAGTTCTAGTTCAGTTCTAGTTCAGTTCTAGTTCAGTTCAGTTCTAGTTCAGTTCTAGTTCAGTTCTAGTTCAGTTCTAGTTCAGTTTAGTTCAGTTCTAGTTCAGTTCTAGTTCAGTTCTAGTTCAGTTCTAGTTCAGTTCTAGTTCAGTTCAGTTCAGTTCTAGTTCAGTTCAGTTCTAGTTCAGTTCAGTTCTAGTTCAGTTCTAGTTCAGTTCTAGTTCAGTTCTAGTTCAGTTCTACTTCAGTTCTAGTTCAGTTCTACTTCAGTTCTAGTTCAGTTCTAGTTCAGTTCTAGTTCAGTTCTAGTTCAGTTCTAGTTCAGTTCTAGTTCAGTTCTAGTTCAGTTCTAGTTCAGTTCTAGTTCAGTTCTAGTTCAGTTCTAGTTCAGTTCTAGTTCAGTTCTAGTTCAGTTCTAGTTCAGTTCTAGTTCAGTTCTAGTTCAGTTCTAGTTCAGTTCTAGTTCAGTTCTAGTTCAGTTCTAGTTCAGTTCTAGTTCAGTTCAGTTCTAGTTCAGTTCTAGTTCAGTTCTATTAAAACACTCGACTAAAAACCCCGGGTTTTATTAGCAACTTGATATCTCCAAGTTGGTGGCAACATATTGTAAACAAATTTTGACACATAATTGTTCATAAATTCGTATTGGAAAACAATGAAAAAAGAGTTTTAGTACATACACACATACAAACAACACTTAATGTGTTGTAAATTTAAAATAAAGAAAAATATTTAATGCCTTTGTAACTAAATATTTACACAAGTATAGGCAACAAACCTCCAATACGAGTGTATAAATATTTAAAGGTGTCTTTAGTAATTTGTTACACATTTGGCTGGATACAAAACACCCAAGACCATTAAAAATATTAAGATATTAACTTAAATAGTTAAGCTGTAAGATTATGTTGAATATGTTAATTAAGTTATTTAAAAACCTTTGACGAATGACTATTTCATCCTTGAAAACTTAATTGAAATGTAAGAGTTAATAAATCTAGTTGAGAAATGTATTCTGTGGGTGATCTTACCGTTTGTTTCTTTTTATGCTGGGGAGTGAAAAAAAAAGTATGCGATGATACGTAGCGAGATCGTTTGATCTAAAAACGAAATTTCCCTAAGTCCGTTTCATGGCTTACACTTCCCTACTTTGAAATGTTATCAAATAATAATTACATAATTCTTAGCAAATTATTGTTATTATTTTTTATGTGGCCTTAAACCATCAACATACACTAACTGATTACTTTAACCTTTTCCCTCGCCAGGTTTTGTTTCTTTTTTATCTCCACACGATCATGAAAAAGAAAGACAGAATAAAAGTGGAAACAAATAACATTGAAAGTATTTAACTGCTGTGTTAACACATCCTTTTTAAATTGATTTTCTGGCTGCGTTGTTTGCAGCTTGAAGACTCCATAAAAATGACTTATGGACATGAGCAGTGTGAACTTTTGTGTATGGATCTTCATCATGTTGAGGATCATTTGATGATGCTAATATTGACTCTTTTGTTTTTTGGAGTTTCTTTGAACTTTTTTTAGTTTTTTTTTTATTGCTTGATGATCTTTGTTTGCGCAGGCGTATAAATTCTTAACCAAAGTGTGAAACCGCAGAAAAATATCGGTAGCAAATACAGAAAAGATGGGAGAAAAAAAATAACAACGAAGAGATGTGTTCAAATTATTGGCGCAACAAATTTGTTGGCTCACACAAAACATCGAAAAAGATGGCAAAATAAATTATGATTGTTTGTAAGGTTGCAACTGGTTTTTCTTTTTCCACTTAGAAATATCAGCAAGATCATGATGCATAACTACTACTGTATATTTCTTACTTTAACATTTCTTTATTCTTATTATATTTTCAGTAAGAAATCTATCAATCATAATCGATTTCTTAAGGTATTTTAAGTGTAGAAAAATCAATTTTACTTTAACAACTGAAATGCTTCAATTTTATGCTAATCAACAACGATCGAGAATATGTAAATCAAACAACCATCTACTCATAATAATAGTATTCATTCTTAGTGATGTTTTATCTGGTCCCAATATAATAATGATTATGATTATTTTGCCGGTTCATTTTAGTTCATTGCCGTCAATAATGTTGCTTTATAAATAAATAATAAGATCTCATGATCATGATCTTTTTGTTGATTCGTGAAATTCCTTTCAATTTCATATGCATTTGTAAGGGAAAATCGCTTGTTGTTGCTGAGTTTAGAAGTCTTGAACTTGTATTAAGTAGCGAGAGAAATGATCTGTTTCCATTTCTTATTTTTAGGATTAAAGCCTGGAATTGCTGGCTCATTTGTGTTTGTAGGTTTTATGTTACCAGATTTATTCGATCAGAAATGGAATGTAGAATATAATTTTCCGATAAAGTATAGTATGATTCGATTGAGCTTGATTCTTATATGGGTCGATTGAGCTATCTGTAGACTTGCTGAAATCATAAATAACCGAGATATGGGCAGAATTAAAGAAGTTTCCGATTCAGGAAATAGTGATAATCTGTAATCACTCATAAATTTCATTAAAAGTAATTTTTTATTCAAAACCTAAAATCGACTATAGATTTTTTTAGCTTAGATCCTACATTGAAAATAGGAAATGATTACCAACTTCTCCTTTGAAATAGGGAAAATGTATCCGTTCCCAAATCTGGCATCCTTTTCAAAAAGCCTCGCATTACATAAAAGTTGATTGAATTTGTTTTCATATTTTCTTCTTTAGTTGAACGCATTTCGTGCTCGTATTGTTTTCAGCTACGTGAGCGTTCATACAAATCACTCCTGTAAACTTTTCAGTAGACGAAGACTGCTGATTATATTTTTGCCACTGTGGCCTGATCACTTAGCATTTGGCCTGTCTGCAGCGTAATAAATGAACTTTGTTTTACTTTTCGGAAGTTAATTATGCGAAATAAAGTAAAAAAATAAATTGTGAGTAAATTGAAAATAAGTTCGAGTTGCTAATTTGAATTTAATTTTTTTTTATAAAAGCAACTGGTAAATTTTTTGGGGAACCATAAAAAGGGAATAATATATATGTATTAACTTTGTAAAGGCACACGTTTAAAAATTGTTTAAATGATGAAACCTTATTTTCTCTATATAACCCCTTATTCAATTTTCTAATCCTGCAGTAAGGTTCCTTAAAACATTTTTTAGTCAATTTGTTTTATAATATTTAAAAAAAAACATGCCCAAAGTGAATTAAAAGATACGTTTTAAGAATTTTTCCATAAAGCAAATTGAAAGTTGGTTGAAATGTAGCAGGTTCTAACATTATTATAATTTTAAACTGACAGTATTTAAGATATAATTTGAAAATCTTTAATATGCCTTATTGTTTAATCAAAAATTGTAATTTCCTGTTAAACTAACAAAATAAAAGAAGTTTTACCTAAAATTTAAATTTAACAGTATGTTTAACCGCACACACTCTGTTTTATGAAAGTTACTTATCCTATTAAGTGAATCGCCCTGTATTTTAGTTTTTTTTATTACCGAACACTTCCAAAATGAAGCCAGCTGTCATGAAATAAAGAAAAAGAGAGCAAACAACAAAAAACGTTTTCATTTTGTGAATAATACATAGAAATTTCAACAAAAATACGCAATTTTTCAATAAATCTTAATAAAAACTTAATAAAATTCATAAAAAAACATGACTACAGCTGCTAGACCCACATTTGATCCCGCCCGAGGAGGCAGTGGTAAAGGAGAGAAAGATTTAAGTGCTTTAAGCAAACAATATTCCAGCAGAGATTTGCCTGGTCACACAAGATTGAAATACAGGTAAGTTGCTATAATTTAGAGATGTTTTAAGACAAATGGTATTAATTTTGTTTTTTTATTTACAGAGAAACTGGTCAAGGCACCTCCGATGAATTGCGTGCCCGTGATTTCCGCAAAGAATTGGAAGAACGCGAACGTGAGGTCAGACCCAATAAAAATTTACCCTCCATTGTGCGCAAAGCCATAGAAGCCAATAATTCGTCAAGTACAACAGGAGGCTCTAGCAGTAAAAGAGCCAAGTTAGATCAACCAGCTGCACCAGTCAATTTAGATGCTGATGACCCTGTGGATAATGACTCCTCTGACAGCGATTCCGACTCTGAAGATGAAGATGACACTGCTGCCCTATTAGCGGAATTGAATAGAATCAAACAGGAACGTTTGCAAGAGACACAACGTAAAGAGCAAGAAAAGAAACAAGAGGAAGAACGTATACGCATGGAAAACATTTTATCGGGTAATCCCTTAATTAACTATGCTGCTGGCTCCGCGGCCACTGCAGCCAATACAAAGACGGCTGATCTAAAGGTTAAACGTCGTTGGGATGATGATGTGGTATTCAAGAATTGTGCTCGCACCGAACCGGAGAAGAAATCACATTTTATTAATGATTCTTTGCGTAGTGAATTTCATAAGAAATTTATGGAGAAATATATTAAATAGAGGATTTCTAAAGACGGGACAATAAGGATGTTTTGTCTTCTTTTCTACTAAAACAGTTTATGATTTAAGTGAAGTACAAGTTATCGTAATAAATTTTAAAGATTATTATATAAATTTTTTGAAACTTTGGATTCTATTTAATGGACACATTAATTTTGTTATTTCATTATCAAAATTTAAGGTAAGGAATAGTTGTTACCTTCAATATAACTAAGATTATTAAAGAAACATTTACTCCGTTGATTTTTAAAGTTTAATATTCGAAAACAATTCAAATTTTCTGCCTAAAACATTTGTCAAATTCTACAGAGATATTTACAAACTCCATTTTTTAGCAAAAATTAAGAACCTCTGTAACTATGACTTGATGTTTAAAAACTAATAAATTAAAAAATAAAGATTTAACTCACCTAAAATTATATGTATATTGATGAAGTCTTCTTTATAAATCAGCCATATTTTTTAAGGATGATAATTCTTTCTTCCATAAGCTGAAAAAGCACTACTACAACTTTTTTTAATACTTTTTTTTAATTTTTATTTTTTTTTTTATATATTTATTACTTTTTTATTTTTAATGAATACTTTTTTGCATAACTTTCATTAATTGATTTAATTTTTTTAATACTTTTTCAAAATTTCACTTTTATTTATTTTGTTTATTTCACTATTTTTATTTTTAATATTTAATTGAAAACTTTGATAATGATTTTTCATATACATATTTTGTTATATTCTTTAATTTTGGAAACTTGGATTTTCTTGATTTTTTTAATATTTTTTTCATATTTATATATTATATTTTTATAATAAACTTTTATTATATTAATAAATAATTATTTTTAAAAATTTTATTATTTTAAAATATTTTTTCAAATATTTTATTAAACACACATTTTCTTGATATTTATTTATTATTTTTAATTATTATAAAATTATTGTTAATTTTCTAGTTAATATTCTACAACGTTCTGTCATTTTCAACCGAAAAATACCGTTACTTCTCTACATTATCTTATTTTCACAATTTTTAACTTTGCATTAATTTTCTATTGACATTTTCAAACCAAAATAAACTTTAACGGTCATACAAAAACAACACTCCTATTAAAAACACAGTTTGTTTATCATGGCATTTGCTACTACTTTTTACAACTCTGTTAGTTACCCGTTATTACTATAGTAATCGGTTTTTCAAATCTCTCTACAACACTAACCGGCTTTATATTTTTTCAGTACATTTCTTGTCATTTCGTTAATTTATCAGCATTTTTGTATAAAGGGCGTTTAATTTATAAAAAAAATATGTGGAAATATTTATTATTAATATTTGCTTTGGCAAATTATAGCCAAGCTGTATTGCAAAGTGATGCTGATACTTTGGTTTTGTTGGATAATTTAGCCATTCGCGAAACCCACTCTATGTTCTTTAAATCATTGCAGGGTAAGTGCGTTATTTGTGACGTGGTCAAAAGTTCTGTAAGAAAAAAGGAAAATAGGATAAAAATGATTAAAAATCTAAAAAATTGTACTGAAATGTTCAAATTAGTGTGAAAAAATAAATAACAAAACATCACTGTCTCAAAGGGAAAGGGAACAAACCTAGCATTAGTCCCCTGACTGCTAATTTAAAAGCAGGAAAAGTTTCTAGTAGTGTCCAACCTCATTGGACAGTTTATAAGTGCATTCTCTTTTCGTACAGAACTTAATTTAAGTCGTTGAGTCGTTGCCGGGATATAGGTACCTATCATTTCATTTAAACCTTATAATTTCTACTAAATTTCTTTCAGAGCGTGGCTTTAAATTGACCTACAAATTAGCTGATGATGCCAATCTACTATTGTCGCGTTACGGCGAATATCTATATAAAAATTTAATAATTTTTGCCCCTAGTGTCGAAGAATTTGGTGGAGAATTAAGTGTCGAGAAATTGGCTCAATTTGTGGATGATGGTGGCAATGTCTTAGTGGCTGGCAGTGAACAATCTGGTGATGCCTTAAGAGAATTTGCCTCTGAATGTGGTTTTGAAATCGATGAAGAAGGTGCTTCGGTATTAGATCACTTACACTACGATATCTCTGATAAGGGTGATCATACCACCATTTTAACAGCTGCCCGCAACTTAATCAACTCCCCTACAATTGTAGGTGATAGTCGTAAGGCTGGTGGTAAACCGTTGTTGTATCGTGGTACCGGTCTATTGGCTGATAAAGAAAACTCCTTAGTATTGCAATTGCTGACCGCCGAAAGCACTGCCTATAGTTATAATCCCGATCAGGCCATTAAAGATTATCCCCATGCTGTAGGCAAGAATACTTTGTTGATTGCTGCTCTACAGGCTCGCAACAATGCACGTGTTGTGTTCTCTGGTTCTTTGCATTTCTTTTCCGATGAAGCTTTTACTAATCCTATTACTTATGCTCAAACTGGTGAACATTTTGATCATTCCGGCAATCGTGATGCTGCCTCGGCCATTAGCAAATGGGTATTTGGTGAAACTGGTCGCCTACGTGTAGCTGAAGTTAAACACCACAAGGAAGGAGAAACCCAACCACCAGAGCAAGCCTATACTATCACTGAACCTGTAGTCTACTCGATTACTATTGAAGAACTGGTTCAAGACAAATGGCAACCTTTCAATGCCAACGATGTACAATTGGAATTTGTACGCATTGATCCCTTTGTACGCACCACCCTTAAACATGTCTCTGGTGGTCGCTTTGAAGCTAAATTTAAAATACCCGATGTCTATGGTGTCTATCAGTTTAAGGTTAATTATGATCGTATTGGTTACACACAACTTTATAGCACTACGCAAGTCTCGGTGCGCCCATTAGAACACACTCAATATGAACGTTTCATACCCAGTGCTTTCCCTTACTACAGCAGCGCCTTCTCCATGATGGTGGGTGTATTTATATTCTCTTTGGTATTTTTACATTTCAAAGAAGAAACTCCCGGTTCGGCTGCTGTTAAGAAGGGTGACAGCAAGAAGACTCAATAAGCAGAGGAATTTTTAAGGAACTAAATTAAACTAGCGGGAATAGAAGACGTCCCCTATAATGAGTCTATAATAGACTTTTTAAGTATTTGTATTGAGAACTTTTATAAATAAAGGAAAAATAAAGTCTTATATTAAAAATTATAAAAAATAGAGTTTGGTATTTTTTTTTAAGGTTAAGACTTTGAAAATGCATTTACTGCAGTTGGGAAAGTTAACTGTTTTTATGTTTAAGATTTTGTAAAATGCCGTAAAATGAAAAGTCATGTGATGCCTTCCAGTATACGGTATGATATGATCGGACATAATCGACTATAATTTTTAATATGTTTAATATTTGTTGGAAACTGTTGGCTAGTACCATGCGATACATTCTTTAAAATTTAGTCTCAAATTATATTGAACTTTCCTTTTCCCAGGAAAGCTAAAGTTTTAGATGTTACATATTTGGTGAAAATCTAGTGGCATCAATGAATATTGAAAATCATGTTTAGATGATTGGAATAACAAATTTCTTAGCCCATTTATTAAATTCAAAATAAAACTAATATGAATATAACATTAACGTTTTTTCCGGACTTTAAAATATCAAAAAGCCAAAAAGGAGCACCCACCTGTCTCAAAAACTTTGCGACAATCCTTATCAACAACTTAAATTGTAACAACGATAAATTTTTAACACAAACATTAATCAACACATTTTTTTTAAATTTTAAGCTAAAAATTTTAATAATTAATAATTTTAAACTTTATTTTTTAAATTTGTAGCAACAAATGCAAATTTAACACTTTTTTATGTGCGAACAAACTCTAAATAGCTCTTTCATTACTCTCTTCTTTTTTTTTTTCATTTCACAGTTAACAAAATATCACTATTTTGTATCTGTTTTGTATATTTATAACATTTCTTATTAATTTAAATAATTTTTCTATTAATTTTACACTTTTAATTCTAATAAAACACTTTCACTTTTCCGTTCTAATCAGACGCTGCATTTTTTTAAAGGAAATGCATTAAAGTTACTAATACAACTATAACATTGAGCGGGAAAGTGTTGTTTATGTTCTTTTAGAATGTCAGGGCAAATGTCAAATGTATTTTTATTCGTTATAACATAATTCGTTACTTCTTGATTAAAAAAGGTAAACAAATTGCAAAAAAAATCTATTTAAACTTTTTTACAGTTCCATAACTTGTCCAAATATTAGATTTTAGGTATAAATGATCAGAAAATAAACCTTTTTTAGTATGGAAATGATTTCCAATGCGAATTTGGCAAGTAATTTACTAAATAAAAGTTTATACTGAGGCTAAGTTCAAAAAGGAATGTCAAAAAACTTGTGAACGTAGGAATAAAGTCAAAAAGCAGTTTGTTAAAAAATTATGTAAGGAACATTGCGAAACAGCCGTCTTTATGTCAAATTTAATGTTTTTCTAGGATCCCTAAGCTTCTGGAGTTTAAATAAGCACAAGAATCGACTCATTCGTATTAATTTGATCTCTTTCTTAATTTCATTAATATAATGAGTCGATTTAACTTATTAAGATTAGTTTAAATTCAATCTATTACAAATTAAAACATAGCCGACTATATAAAACTCTACACCTGTGAATATTATGTATGGACTATTAAATAAGCATTATGGACTATTAAATAAGCATTCAAGTTGTTTTTGGTCTTAATTTCGAAATAATTAAACAAATTTTAGACAATTTGATGATGGAGGGGTTATACGGAGGCAAGGGTAAATATGCCCCATACTAATGATTGTTGGTAGAGGCATTTACGTTTATATAAAAGTTATTTATGCAGAATTATATTTTCTGAAGGGGGCTTTGTATTAATTAACTAATTTGTGCCGATTTTTATAGAGATACTAAAACATTCAACATAATTATCAGCTCTAGAGCCCTATTTAGGGGTGAGGGGTTGTTGTACGACTGTATGGGGCTAGATGAAATTATAGACCGATTTCAACCATGTTCAATAAGATTCGTCCTTGGGTCAAGAGAAAGGTATGTGCAAAATTTCATCAAACTATCTTGACATAGCTTAATAGACTCAGAAAGTGATTCCGAGCCGATTGGTAGGACCAATATTTTTGAGTGTTACAGACATCAGCACAAACGCATAATATCTTCCCCACTATAGTGGTGTAGGGTATAATCTCTTGACTCGTCCAAGATACAACCATAATAGTTATATTATGGACTCGTCTATCGCCCAGTTTATTGATTAGTTTATTGTCTACTCCCTTATTTTATTATTTTTTCTTTTTTTGTTGTCAAAAGTACTGTAAAAGTACAATAGTATTGAAATATCCATACCTGATATAAATCATACAATTAATTAAACTAAAAAAGTAAATTCAGCCTCAAAATCAAATAAAGAAATAATTTTGAAATTCCTAAATCAAACTTAGATTTTAAAGGAAAATCGGGTTTTTAATAACCGTCATTTTCAGCTCTTGAAAACAATACGATTTAAAAGGCATAATTTTGACTCTAGCAATAAATTGTTGACTTATCTACTGAATATACGCACTATTTATACTACATGTGTGTGTACTTAAATTATTTGCAACTGTTGGGAAAATAATCAACCTGATAAAAAAAAATCAAATGATAAATAAATTCAAACATTTTTTTTTTTGTTTTTTCCCAGTTATTATTTTTTATTTGCGCACACAATTTGACGTCTCATAATTTGATTTTTTTTCTGTTTGTTTATCCAGTTTTCTTTTTTATATTAAATTAACAAAAACTTTATATTTTTTTATATGCAAGTGTATTAATTCTTTACTTTTTACCGCCTTTTCATTTTCTTATATCGTCTTCATATATAAAAAGCATAATGATTTATTTTTCTTGTATTTAACTAAAAAAATAATAATAGTAAAACTTGTTGTTTTGTTATATAAATTATGCATGTATCTTAATTTATAATTAATTAATTTATGTACGTTGTGAGGAGAGGGTTTTTTTTGGAGGGGGAGAGTGGATTAACGTTAAGTATGTATACACACATATATCTGTAGTATATAAATGACGTATAAATGTTATTTATATATGTAATTTATGTATATAGTATGTATGTTTTTTATTTATTAATGTGCTAATGTGTGGTTGTAGCAAAGTGAACTTATTATTATTATTATTTAAATTTTTGTTTTTTTAGTTTCAAAGGTTCATTTCTTTTTTAAAGTTTTTGTTTGTTGTTGTTGTTAGGTTGACATTAATTTCTTGTTTTTGATTAGAATGTTTTGTGGTTTGCTGTTGTTTGTTGTAGTTAATGATGATGTGTTTTATTTGTTTTATTGGAATTTAGCAAAAAGTTTAAATATATCGTTTCTTTTTTTCAGATTTGTGGTATAAAATTGTTCTTGTTGGTTGGTTTATCGTTTCAGTTTGGTTTTTTATATTGGTTTTATTAGTTTATGTGTTTTAAGAACAACAATTCTTGTAGGCAGGAGGTTTTTCATTATTTCGACGATCGACAACAACACGCTCGGGATTTTCGGCAGATTCTCGGCCAGCTGTTTTATCTAATATAGCCTCGGCAAGTTCGCAGAAAGCACGTTCGATGTTAATGTTAGATTTAGCTGAGGTTTCCATAAAACGTATACCGTGCTCACGGGCAATCTAGATAAGACAGAAAGAAAGTAAACATTAAAAACTTGCTTTGTAATTTCTTTTTTCTTTCAAACTTACCGCTTCACCACGTTCTTTACTGACAATACGCTTGTCTGACATGTCACATTTATTTCCCAATATCATTTTCTCCACATCCTCATTTGCATGCTGTGAAAAAGCGTTGATATCGTTTTGATATTTCATTTAATTTAAAAATTATATAACATTTTACCTCATCTATATTCCTTAACCATTTAACGATATTTTCAAAACTTTTCTCATTCGTTATATCATATACCAGCATTATCCCCATCGCTCCACGATAATATGATGTTGTTATGGTATGAAAACGTTCCTGGCCTGCAGTATCCCAGATTTGTAATTTGATTTTTTTACCCCTGAGTTCAACGGTTTTGATTTTGAAATCGATACCTAAAATTAAAAAAAAAAATGATAGAAAATACATTTCAAAATGTTGCCTTATATCAGACCAATTGTCAATTTTGGACCGATTCACACAAAATTTAAATATTTATGACCTAATGGAAATAATGGACCGTTTCAATGGGATTTGTGTTTGATACAAGCATTACAGGGACGGAAACATCGAAGTAAGGACGGATATCGCTAAGTAGACTTCTATTTTAATTTGTTGGCCAACATCAGCACAAACATTAAACCTTCCACACTCTACCGGTGTAGGGTACAAAAAAGATACAACTGGAAAAGTTTTTAAAACAAATATTTCAAAGTCCGCAATCTAGGCATACATGTAGAAATATTAAAGAAAATAATACAAATATTTAGCCTCTTAAATATTTTGCATACATTTACCAACACATCCTCATTCTAAAATAAAAAGAATTTAAAACAATTTGTATGTGGTTTAATTAAAAAAATGACGCAAACATTTAGTTCATTTCTTGAACTAAAAAAAGTGAACGCATGCACATTAATTAAATTCCCTAGAAAATAATAAATACATTTACGATAAAAAGAACGAACAGGAAAATAAATGAAATGAAAAGACTAGTATCAAATGTTATCAGCAACATATTAAATTCCGTTAATCTTATATTGTCTTTTTTAATTTATTTTTTTTAACGTTTTTTTTTATATTTATACTCTTGGTGCCCTACACTGCAGTGAGAAGTTGTAATTTGCTTTGTGCTGCTGTTGGTGACTTATAAATTGTTCTTTATTGTTCCTAAGTAGCACATTATTTCGTTCTTTTGACAACGCTTTCTTACAATACCAAGTCAAAAGTTTAATCTATATAGCCTAGTCTATAGTTGAGTATAGTCTAAGTCTACTCTATAGTTATGATATAGTCCTCACTTCCAAAAATTCTTTAAACTTAAATTCAATTTCAATGAAAAATTATTTTTACTAAATGCATCACATGCAGTCCATAAAGTAGGACTACATTGACAAAGGCCTACTTTTGCAAATAATTTTACATCTGTGTAGGGTATCCGAAACCCGACCTTAACCGACACTACTTTCTTAATTGTTTTTGTATTTGGCAACTCTCTTATTTAGTAGATTGTATATGTTTTTTTTTCTACGTTCAATTCTACTACACCAATACAATGCGTCACAATTTATTTTATGTAATTATTTAATTACGATTTACTTCCATTCCATAAATAACTAAACAATATCAAATAAATTCTATATCCAACTATGGTCAACTACAGCAAAATGATAAAATAAAACAAGCCATAAATACAAATGATGTTATAGACAAAAAATATCGCTAGTTACATTACAAACCAACCCAACGACCTACAAACTGAAAGAAACGTCTCGTTATAAGTGGAAAAAATCCATTAACACTTTTTTTCTTAATCGCATTTAGAAAATTGCCCTTTTCCGGTCAATATTCCAAAATCCAAACTCCAATTAACACTTTTGAGTTTGTAGTAATGGTATACCACGCCCTTGTACACAAAATAAAGGTGATGGATAGATGGCTGGATACATTTTTACAAAACCCCCACCTTTTTTACGATTATTTTTTTTATTGAGCTATGAGTGTGCACACTCATAAATGTCATTGAAGGAATTACTTACCAATGGTGGATATAAAGGTGGATGTGAAGGCATCGTCCGAGAAACGGAAAAGTATACATGTTTTTCCAACACCTGAATCGCCGATTAGCAACAGTTTGAACAGAAGATCATACGTTTTCTTGGCCATTTTTTGCTTTTGTCGCACAAGTAGTTGGGATTTTTTTTTGCTTTTTCCTCTACTAGTTTAGTTGTAAGTTATTTCAATGTTTTTACTGTTGTAACAAACGTTTTTGTAGTTTACTTTATTGTTCTTTATATAATTAAACTTATGGCTAAATTTTCTTTATTTAAATTTAGTTTTTAACTTAAATCTTTATGTTTTTTTCTTCTTCAGTGCAATTCTTTTTGTAATATCCTATATTTTTCTTTGGTTTCTCTTCCTCTTCTTTGCATTTGACAGCAAAAAAATATTATCGGAGAAGAAAAAATAAAGTGTTGCCAATGTTTTTGAATTTGAAGAGAAATTCCTTTATATGAATTGTTTACAAAAGAGAATAAAAGAGAAAGGGGAACATTTTTCTTTGTTTGAATTCCCAGAAATTTTTGTAAAATTTCTTAAAAATAGTATTTTTTTATAATTAAATTGCAATTTTATAATAAATTAAGATTCCAAGCACATACTTATATCAATAAAAATTAATTTTCTGTGTTGTATATCTGAAACACTTGTATTAAATTTTTATTTTTTATGAAAAGTTTTTAAAAGAAAAATGAACCTATTATTTGTTCCTCCACTGTATATTTACAGTGACAAGCAAAAGTTTCTTAATGTTAGCCAATATTAAATTTTTGTATCTAGATGTCGTCCAAGGTTGTTAGCAGGAGCAGATGTTATGATAGTAACTCTAAACACACAGCGATACCTTCCTAACGTAAGGAATATTAAATCACGAATAGGAAACAAAATTATGTTTACATGGGATCCATTTTTAAAAGTTTTTTCATTTCATTTCGTCAAAATAGAGCCGAATGTCGACTTTTTATATAGGCTTATATTAATTTTAGAAATTCTGGCAACATTTCATTTAGAAAAATAAAGGCTGAACTTGCGCGTCAAAAATTTTATACCGCCGCCGAAATTTTTAGTGTTAAGCGACGTTGTCGTTAATGTTTGTCGGCGCTGGGCTCTGATGTGTGCCAGAGCAGTGAATTTGTGAAAAAAAGAGAATTAAAAAATAATTGAATACAATAATAATAGAAAAAAGAATTGAATTTATCAACCTAAATAGCCAAATATAAATATACATACGAATTATTTAAATATTTCCAGGCCTTACATGGCTATAACGACATTCAATTAATTGCTGCAATTGGAGAAAAAAGATATGGGAGAGAAGAGTGGTGCTGCAAAAAATTATTACTACCCATCTCAAGTGTGACATGAACTTTTTTTCTTCCTATATATTTTTTATATTAACAAACGAAGTAAAGAAAAAAAGGTGCAAACTAAAAAAAATAATAATTTTAGAATGGAAAATTTTATATAAAAATTTAACAAAAATATTAAATAATTAATAATAAAACAAGTAGTAATATATTTAAAAAGGAGTGAACGCAAAAGAAAGAAAAAAAAAGCGAAGGTGTTGATTTCGGCACACAGCTTTAGTAGCTAGTCAAACGAGCTGCGTTGACTGCGCAGCGACCGCAATAATCGATCATACCCAATAAGCATATTTAGGGGTTTGGACGAAGGCAGTTGTTCTCATCTTAGTGGCAGGGTCAAGCATATTGATAAATCAATAGTGATTGCTCGGTATTAAATTGTGTAATATTTTAAATACATTTTTTTCTGCATCGGTTAAGGACAGGATTTTTAACTGGATGCAACGATATTCCCTACTGGGTTAGGTATATCCATTGCTGAAGCCCATTTTGGTGAAATTATAAATATTAAACTGTAAATAAATGTTTTTAAGTAAATCTGGATTTCAAACGAGACTGTGTTCCTGCAGAACATATTGTGAAGATAAGTGATTTTCTCCAACTTCATATTATTTTAAAAATCTTAAATAAAATTTTGAAATATGAACATTATTTACTGTTTAACTATGTTGGTATGTAAATAAGTTTCCCTAAATGCTTATTGGGTATATGTATAAAGGTGTAGTGCATCACTGCAACAGCGATAGCCGGTGCAAAAGTTCCTTTTTCAAATGTTAAGTTTGGTTTGAAACCCTTTGCGAGTGCATAAATCTTAAAGAATATAATATAAAGTTAAAGGTTTAAAGAATCAATTGCAACTTTTGCACATACTACCACACAGCTGCAGTAAACAACAACACAAACTCACATTTATTTTGACTGAAGAATTTATTGATTATTTTACTTCTTTGATACCCAGTCAAAAGAAAAGATGTTTTAAGATATTTTAAAAAGTGGTTTACAAAATAACAATTTTTAACAATATACTTAAATAATTGTTAATAATTTTAAAAAGTTTTTGCTTACAAAAGTCATATCTTCTATTTGGAAGTTTCAACTTTAAATTGTATGGAATTAATATATTCAATTGTTACTATCTTTATTTCTTATACCTATAAATTATTAAATATAGTTGAAAGAAATGTAAAAATCCTGTTATAACTTAAATATCCCCTTCGCTATGAGAAAAGAAAGACAGTGTAATTCGTTTGATACTTGACAAATTTGGGTGGTTCAAAACCCACCCTTGCAAAAGTGCAATAAAAACCACATACTCACTCACTTAGTCATACAAATACTATTAAAACAATAATTTTAACCACTGACTGAATTTTGCTACTTTGTATAAAAATGTTAACAAATCCCAAGAAAAAATTTAGAATTTTTTAAAAAATAATCTCTAGAAGGAGTGAAAACTGAGTAACTCTTTTTTTTTCCTTTTGTAAAACTAATTCCGAAAGATTCGGGAATTAATTTAGAATTATATAGGGCATTCTATCGAATCTATAACGCTTCTAAAGAACAAGCTTTGAAACTTATATTTTGGAAGAAACATTCAATTTACAATAGGTATTACTTTTTTTAGAAAAATGTTCTTTCCTTATTAATATGTTCTTCAATCATATGCTTCTTAAACCTTCAAGCCATATTTGTTTTTAACATATTTTTTTCATATTTCTTTTAACATTATTATTTACAATTCTTGATTTGTATTAACAACTTTACGAATCGTTAATAGAAAAAAAAAAACACCAACGTCCATATAAGGCCTTAATGTGTTTTTGACAGTAATAAAATATAAAAGTTAAAAATATATATGTACGTATGTATTTCTAATAGAAAAATCGTGTGCAAAGTGTCTCATACATATTGAATCAACTTACCGCATAATATTTGAAATAGAAAACAAGCAGCAGCAACAACAAATTCTAAACTTACTCTAAACAAGCAAAAAAATAATAATAAAAGCAATCTTCACCTAGTTTGTTCATTCTTTGCGTTCATTCAACAACATTAACAACGACAACATCATCACACTATCAAAAAACAGCCAAAATAATTTTTATAAAAGAAAACATAAAAAATTAAATACTCTTCTAGTAACAAAAAGCAAATAAGTTTATACATTTTTTTTAAGTAAAATTAAAAAAAGCTTTCAGCATTTGTTTTACACTCCGTTTCGTTCCTCCTCTGTGCACTCCTCTTAAGTGTGCTTGTGTTTGTGTTTTTTGTAATGTATGTTTTATAAAAAATGAAATTGTGATGATTGATTTTTTTTCTACTTCTAAAACATAAAAATAATCTCACATTTATAGCTCAACATAAAAAACAATAAAAACAACAACAGCAACAACAAGAAAAAGAACAACTACTACAGCAGGATTACAACATAATATGGATACTACAAGTGCCGTAGGACGGCGTCGTGGAAATTCGCGTGTCAATGCCGAAGATCAAGCTTTAGATCAAATAGCAAAAGAGGTAAATATTAACATTAATAATTAATATTGTTATTGCGTTTTTTTGTTCTCCCAAATATGGGATAAGAAGAGAAACAAACAATCGATGGATCGATTGATAGTTTGATTATTATTGTGTACTTTTTTTTGTCGTTTGAGTACATTTTCTGCTAAACATACATACATAGCTGTTTGTATATGTTTGTTTTTAGCATGTAGTTCATTAGCGTTTATATATTCAATTCAAGTTTTATGGATTTAGGTATTGTTGTCAATTTTTAATTAGTTTATTTGCATCCTTATGTATCGTGCGCTAAAATGACAAAAGTTGTTAATTTTTATTTAGATTGGAAAAAAGGCGTTAAGCACGCTCCTAGTAAATGATGTCATTCTGACATACATAATTTTAGTATAAAAGGACGTTTAAATAATAAGTACGTTGAATTACAAACATTTTAGCAGAGAGGATTTATCCCAATTATGTCCATAAATAGTTGAGGTTGAGTCCAGAGTATAGACTAGACTATAATCCAAACTATAGACAAGATTATAGTCCAGACTGTAGACTAGACTGCATTTCGATTACGTTACTCTACATTCGAAAATTGGCATTCTAACAAATAACTGAATCGTAAGAAAAAGAAGAAGCAATTCCATTTTATTTCAATGCTTTACGATTGTGTGTATTCTGCATTACGAACGTAACTACGTTTTTGTAAGTTATTTTAGTGACAGAGCTTCGAATCGAAATGCAGAATACCAAAGTTATCAAGTAGGGGTGAATACTCCAGACTAAACTGTAGACTAGACTTTAGTTCAAAGACAAGACTATAGTCCCAACTATGGACACTATAGTCCAGAGCATAGACTAGTATAGCCTATAGTCCAGAGTATAAGAGTTTCATGACGTACAAACTGCAGACTAGACTATAGTTCAAACTATAGATAAGACTATAGTCCAAACTAAAGACAAACATAGACAAGACTATAGTCCATAGTATAGGCTAGGCTATCGTCCATACTACAGACTATACTATAGTCCAGAATAATGAATGAATCCAAAGCTAAAAAACTAAGAAAATTGTAGATTTTTATTAAAAATTTCTGTATTAAAATTTTGAGTTTTAAAATTTTGAAAATTTTCAGTTCAAAAATTTTGAAAATTTTGAGTTTTAAAATTTTTTTAGAAAACTTTCTTTATTGAATTTTTTATAAAAAATTTTCCATATTGAATTTTTATAGAAAAATTTCCGTATTGAATATTTTATAGAAAGTTTTCTATATTGAATATTTTATAGAAAATTTTCTGCATTGAAATTTTATAGAAAACTTTCTGTATTGAAATTTTTTGTATTAAAATATTTATATAAATTTTTCTGTATTAAAGTATTTATAAAAAAAATTTTGTTTTGAAATTTTTTTAATTCTTATAAAAAAATTTTCGTTTTTATTTTTGAAATTTTTATTGAAATTTTTTCAGTATTTTTTTTATAGAAAATTTTTCAGTATTGACATTTTTATAGAACATTTTTATATTGAAATTTAAAAAAAATTTCTATATTGAAATTTTTATAGAAAATTGTCTATATTAAAATTTTAATAGAAAATTTTGAGTTTTGGAATTTTTAGAGAAAATTCTCAGTTTTGAAAATTTTAGAGAAAATTTTTCTGTATTAAAATATTTATCGAAAACTTTTGTATTGAAATATAATTTTTCTTTGTTTTTAATTTCAATTTTATAAAAAATAATTTGGTTTTGAATTTTATATTTTTTTTTTTAAATCTCTGATTGAAAATTTTATAAAAAAATTTAGTTCTGAAATGTTTATAAAAAATGTTGGTTTTAAAATTTTCATTAAAAAATTTTGGATTTGAAATTTTTTTTAAAAAATTTTGTTTTTTTTTTTGATTTTGCTTTTGAAATTTTTATAAAAAAATTTTGGTTTGAAAATTTTATAAAAAAATTTTGGTTTGAAAATTTTATAAAAAACAAATTGGTTTTGAAACTTTTATTAAAAAAATTGGTATACAAATTTTTATTAAAAAAATTCGGTTTTGAAATTTTGTTAAAAAATTTCGGTTTAGCAATTTTATTGAAATATTTAGTTGTATGATTTGTAGGAAACTAAAAATTATAATAATGTGTGTTTTTTAAAACTAGCATTTCCGATACAATCCTTTTTAACACGCATTTTACAAAAAATAAATATTACTTGCATTCAAAACTATTGCGTAACTTCAAAACATAGACTGGATTTATTAAATTTATTGTTATAATTTGTGAATTGTATCTAATTTTATTTGTAAGTTTTCATTCATAAATTTACGATTTACTCATGCGATCACTATTATTATATTAAAACATGTTTGGTGTGTTCACTCTCTTTTTTTTTTTTGTTTATTTTTTCTTAAAAGAAGAGGGAAAAACGCTAAAATAAATTCCTCATGCATGTCAACCCTGTCGTTTACTAAAAATTTATTTATTAGCTACTTTCAACGATAAAAGAGAGTTAGATCGTCAGTTGTCGACGTACAGTGAGTAAGCGTACACAAGTTAAAAACGAAATAATCTGTGGATCGTTAAAAAAATAAAGAAATATAACTTAAAAATTATTAAGAAGAAAAAAAAAATCGAGTTTTTGTAGATTTACTTATACTTATTATTTCAGTATTAATAAATAATTTTTAACTTGAAATGTTAATTTAAAAAAGCTGTGATTACGTAGTCAAAAGTAAATAAAATTTTTGAAAAAAATACAAGTACAGAAAATATATTAAAATAAACAAGGTTTTAAAATAAAAAAATAAGCAGTTTGAATTAAAATTAAAGGAACAGAGAGAAGAAAAAAAAAAACTAAGTTAAAATGTCAGTGGAACAAAAATTAACTGATAAAAATGTTGAAACTACAAAAACAAATACAAATTCGAGTTTAACAAAAACTAATAAAAAGAATAAAAACAACAATAACAACAGCAATAGTAGTACTAGTAGTAGTAAAAAATTCATTAAAAAAGCATTGAAAACCTCAAAAACTAAAAAAACTACAACTAATGTCAACAATAATAACAACAGCAACAACAACACTATTATGAATAACCAAAACAACAGCAACAACACTATTAGCAGTAGCAGCAGCAACAACAATGTTGAAGTGGCAAACGATGAAATCATCGAGGAGTTGTTTGATTTTAGCGATACCGATTTAAAAGAACTTGACGACGATATTGAAAACAACGAAGAAATTTCCAAGAACAACAACTCCAATGACGAACTTTCAAATAAAGATATTGATGAATTAAAGGAAAAAGATGAAGTTGACAAAGAGTCAACAGAGCAAATGCAAAATTCCACAATAAGTGATAATAACAACAATACTAATGACAAAGAAGAGACAAACGAAGTAATACTACAACAAAAAGAACAACAACAGGTGGAAGAATTATTATCTACACCAATTGATAACATTGATAAACAAAACGAAGAAAACAAACAACCAGAACAACAACAAGATGAAAACAATGAATTAGCCACGACAATGTCTGCGACTGCAAATAATACTATTAGCGAAAAAGGAAATAAAGATAATAATGAAATTGATAAAAACCAACAACAACTACAGCAAGAACCAGACTCTCCCATAGAAGAAGCTATAGAAGCAAAAGAATCCAATGAAAATATATTTTTAAATGACAGCACAACAATAACTACTCCCGTGCAAATCTGTGAAAGTTCTATTGTTGAGGAACAGACATCACATAATAATAATAATAATGACAATACGATAACAACATCTCCTCCTCCAGACACAAAGTCTAAGCAAACAACTGAAGATGCAGTCGAGTCAACTGCAAGTGTTGTAACTAAAGAAAGTAGTTATAAAGAGCAAGACGATGATCATGATTTAAATAATGAAGAAGATTATGACAATGATGATGAGTATGCCGAACCGTATGATGAACTATTGGTACAATTCCTTGATGAAGCCAATCAGATTGTAAGCTTAATTAAAAATTACTCTATACACATGCTATTTTAAAAAAAAAAAGTTACATTGTAGTTTTTTTGTATGGGAATTGTGAGAAATTATGGGCAACAATTGTTGTGAAAATTTAACTGAACTGATTTAGTTGTACATTTTGTACAGGCTTTCTCTGTAAAGTAGGTTCTTTTTTTTTTTAGGAACTCTTAAATTTAGTTTCAATAAAAATTTTCTGGTATTTGGACCAAAATTCGAACATTTAGTGTGTATTAAAAGAACAAATAGGTGTCCTATTTCTTAGCTCCTTTAGGGAGTAAACGGTTAAAACTACATTTTGGTATTTTTAGTTAGTTCTTTAACTCCTTTACCATTGTCCCTGGAGGGATTCGAATCCGTCTAGCAGATTAGAAAACGGCTTGAAATAATGAAAATTTAAAGAGCTAAATAAATAAATAAGAAACTATACAATGAAACAGTGAGGGATTGTTTTGATTTTGAAATGGTACTTTTTAAATTTTCTATCATATTGAACGTATTTAAGTTAACATTAATCATGAAGGATTCTGAGTTAATAAGCGTCTATGTATAAGAATGACTTTGGTACTATTTAGTTCATAAAAAGAGGATCTTTAAATGGATCTAGTACTTCTTATTTATAAATACTTTTTAAAAATAAAGCTATTATTGATAACTCTACTATGTTCAACCAGGATAATTTAAATAGTGTTTGGTCCAAAGACCTCCTAATTACTTAATTTGTTATATAACAAAAACATTAATTGAAGGTCTTGTAATAAACGTGGAAAAATAATTTAATATTATCAACGTCAAAGTAAAATTAGTTAGTTAGTTAGTTTGATAATGTAATTTAAATTGTGCAAGAGTATGTGACCCCTTCATTTGAAATTAATTTAAATTGCAATATAAATACAAATAAAATTGTTAAATTTTGTCGGGAAAGAAGTTGAAGCTGAATGGTTTTCCCCCATAAAAAGATAACATCTGGGGGAAAAACTTTCAATCTCTAACGTAAACTTTGGATGAGAAGTTAAGTACTAAATTTTGTAAAATTAATACAAATATTCTAAAAGAATTGTATATTTGCTTAGTTTTTAGTTTTTTTTTCAAATCTCTTGCCTGTTTGTTATTAGCATGGAAAGTTTTTTCATCAATAGCACTAAAATCTTATGCATTGAAATAAGCAAAATTGATAATTTTCGCACATTGTTATGAAAGCTATAATAGAACATTGCCAAAATAGAATTTCACCATTTAAATAATAATTCAATATTTAACTACTTTTACCCTCAAGCATTAAAAAGCTCAATTTTGTAAATAAATATTTATATTATCTAATTAAAGTATCTATAGTCATAACAAAAGGCAGTAAAAATATTAATATAAATTTGCTATATAGAATACTTAGAAAAAGCTATTTATTTTCTAGTAATAAAATATATTACAAGACAATAAATATTATCTATAGATTGTTAATATAAACAATTTTAAGTTTAATTTTTCAAAATATTTATTTGTGAAAAAAATCTTTATAAACCTGTTAATTAAGAAACGTTTAACACATTGTCATTTTAAATAGAAATATTATGTTACAGAAGACGTCTTTGTAATCTCAATTTTCAGTTAAACGTTGTACAAATATTGTTTTTTTATTTATTTTTTTTTTCAAGTATAAATTTCTGCGGCTAGCTTAATAAAAGGAAAATGATAGCTGGTTGTATTTATAGGAGTTTATTAAAAGGAATATATTTCAGTAACAAGCTGTTGTATGTTTCAATTTCTAATGCGGCTAAACGCTGAAATATATCTCTTTGATATTTAATTTATAGTTGCGATTGCATTATATTAAAAAGATAAGCAGTGATGTATGTAACGCATAGAAATATTGGTTCGACACCCGCCTTTAAGCATTCCTATCAAATCAGACCCAGACTCCTCTTATCTGAATCGATCGATAAGAGGAGAGGCAAGATGGATAGATAGATAGATAGATAGATAGATAGATAGATAGATAGATAGATAGATAGATAGATAGATAGATAGATAGATAGATAGATAGATAGATAGATAGATAGATAGATCGGAATTTGTTAGTCGACATTTTTCTGAAACTGGCTTTATATGGGGGCTAGGATCAAATATGTGCCGTTTATAATAAAACTGATTTCTGAAGGGAACTCTGTATAAGAGCCAAGTTAGGCCTGATCATTACGAAAATCGACAATATAATCATATAATCATTCTATTATCTAGGTAAGGTTATATTAAGAAGGGTTATGCACCATAAAAAATTGCAACTGCGAGTGGAGTCACAACTCCATTGTGATTCCCTTCGTAGATTGTGAAGATCCAAAGATAGACAAGTAGAGAGGAAAATCACCCTATTATCGGTGATTTCCAAGGAATTTCAGTCTGAAGTTTTCCCTATCATCTCTAGCTGGAAATTCTATCTATCTATCTATGTATCTATCTATCTATCTATCTATCTATCTATCTATCTATCTATCTATCTATCTATCTATCTATCTATCTATCTATCTATCTATCTATCTATCTATCTATCTATCTATCTATCTATCTATCTATCTATAAGTTTCCCAACTTTTTCACCTTTAAATAAATTGTTTTATTTAACTAGAATTAAACTATTACAGTATTTCAGAATAATTGACCCGCAGTTGAAAGTACAAAACTATTTTTGCTTTTCAGTACATATTTGTTTAACATTTAGGTAACTCTGTTTGAATTAAAAAAACTCTTCAAATCAACTGTTTCTCTTAATAGTTTTCTACTTAAGAGCCCACAATAAATCTTTCGATTCTCTTGTTAACTTTGTACTGTTTAAACTTTGAAGTGTAGGTTGAGTCCTATTTACGCTAATAAATTGGTGAATCAATTTTGTTGCACAACAGTACATTTGTTGTTTCTTTTTCAGTATTAAAAACTAACAAACAAAGGCACGTATTTTTAATTAAATTATTTAGCGAAATATGTATCTTTAGCGTAATGTTTAAGAAATAATTTAAAATACAAGTAATTTCAATTAAATGTAAGGGATTTTTTAAAACTTTTGTATGCAAAACTCATTACCTTATAGCTAAAAGATACACAAAACACATGTGTCATGCATTAGTTGATTTTCATTGATTTATGTATGTAGTTAAAAAAAACGCATGACTAATTACTATTAACACTTAATGAACAACAGGTAGTGAGTTAACAATTTATTATATTTGGTAAAAATTCTAAATTCCCAATTAATAAATAATTTCTCTTTAAAGTTTATTTTAATTAAATATTAAATTTTCGTTTTTCTTTTGCAGGCTGAGGCTAGATTAGCTGCCAGAAGGCATGCTCGAGCGGAAGCTCGTGAAATACGTATGCGAGAATTGGAAAGGCAGCAAAAAGAACAAGAATCTAATGCAGATCGTGCATTCGATATGCACTCAACCGTTACCGGCATTACACCACTGTCACACATGCGTCTGGGTTTAGGTAGTTCACCAGTTACTGGTCTACTAAATTCAACAAGAGGAAATTCAATGTCATCGAGACGCAGTAGTGAAGATTCACTAGAAGAGGAAGGCCGCAGTTTAAGAGACATACGTCATGAGTTAAAGGTATTGAAATACATATGAACTTATACCCCTTAAACAAATCGCTTTTAATCAATTTTTTATAATTCCTTTTATAAAGGATGTCGAAGAACGATTTCGTAAGGCTATGATAGCGAATGCTCAGTTGGATAACGATCGTGCCTCACAAACGTATCAGATACAGTTGTTGAAAGACAAACTGGAAGATATGGAAGAATCATATTCACAATTACAGCGTGAATGTAAGGAAAAGACACGCGATTGTAATGCCTTGAAACGATCGTTGGATAAGCTAAGCGAAGAGCTTAAACTGGTACAGGGTCAGCTCAATGAGCGTGATACACTGATAGCAGAACAAGGCTTAGTTATTGTGGCTATAGAAAATGAAGATGGCACTGATGCCAAACGTGCTCTAGTCAGTGTGGAAAATGCACAATTATTGGGTTCGGTACAAGGATCATTAGGTAATTATTTTGTGACTATATGATATAACTTGAAGAAGAATATATTAAAAATTACTTTTTTAACAGATGTTCGACTTAAGAAATTTAGCGAAGAGAAACAGCAGCTACAACACGAAGTCCAGCAGCTGCAGGAACAATTAGAAACGTATAAAAGTCAGGGCAAAGGTCGTGGTAAAGGCAATTCTTCAAATGGTCCCTTAGGTTCAGACGATGATGATTATGAAGCTCAAAGTATGTGTTTTCTTTTAAATGAATTCTTGCATTTTATTAATTATTTTATATATTATCTAGGAGAAGCTAATAAAATCATATCGGATTATAAATATAAATTACAAAAAGCAGAACAGGAAATTGCTAGTCTTCAGTCGAGTTTAGCACGTTCCGAGACACAAGTTATACGTTATAAAAGTACAGCTGAAGCGGCTGAAAAAGCTGAAGCAGAACTTAAAATCGAAAGGAGGAAACTGCAAAGAGAGGTAATTTATAAAATTCTGTAAAAAACTTGTTAAATATCGAATTTTTATATAAAAAACTTATTCAGCAGAGCTTTTTTTATAAACATTTGATTAAGCAGAAATTGTATCTGTAAAAAAATGATTATGCAAACTTTTTTTATAAAAAATTAATTCAGCAAAATTTTGCAACAATTTTTTCTAAAGAAAAGTGTATTCAGCAAAATATTTTTTTCTAAAAACTTAATTCACCAAAAAAGTTTATATAAAATATATAAATTTTTCTATAAAAGTTTAATTCAGCAACACATTTTTTATAAAAATCTAACCCTCATGTTTTTTTTCTATAAAAAAGTAATTCAGCAAAATAAAATTAATAAACAATACCGCATTTTTTTGTATAAAAATTTAATTCAGCAAAAAAGTTTTTTTATAAAAATTCGTTTAAAACAGATTTTTAAAAACATTTATTCAGCAAACATATGTTATGTTAAAAATGTATTCAACAAAAAATTGTTCTAAAAAAATAATTCAGCGAAATTTTTTCTGTGAATAATGAATTAGGATAAATTTTTTTTCTCTTAAAAATGTATTCAGCAACTATTTTTTCTATAAAAACTTATTCAGCAAGAATTTTTTTATGAAAAAATTTATTAAGCCCCAATTTTTTTATAAAAAAACTTATTCAGCAAGAATTTTTTTATGAAAAAATTTATTCAGCTTCAATTTTTTATAAAAAACTTATTCAGCAAGTATTTTTATATAAAAAAAATTTATTCAGCTGGATTTTTTTTTATAAAAAACCTTTTCAGCAAAACTTTTTTCTATCCAAAATGTATTCAGCCAATAATTTTTATATAGAAATGAATTCCGCAACATTTTTTATTCATAAATAATGTATTCAGCAATAAATTGTTGTATAAAAATTAATTCAGCAACATAGTTTATTCATATCAAGTGTATTCAGCAAAAACAAATGTATTCAGCACCTATTTTTTCTACAAAAATTAATTCAGCAATATTTTTTTATACAAATGTAACTGTTGCTTTACAAAATTGTTCTAAAAATTAAATAAATTTTATTTATTTCAGAATCGTGAGGCAATGGAAAAACTCGAAGAATTAGAAACATCAAATAATCATCTACTGAAACGTTTGGACAAATTAAAGAATGCCAAAAGTGCTTTGCTCAAGGATCTCTGACCAATATATGGAGGATATCAGCAACAACAACAGCAGCAGCATCAGCGTATGTCTCAAAATAACACTACTACAACAAAAGCAGCAGTAGCAACAAAAGCAACAACTAATAATGTTGATAGTGAGAATACAATGGCAACAAATAAACAATATTCTACATCACCAATTCATCAGCAAAATCATAACAAACAGCAGCAACAAACGCCATATAATTACAAAACGAATGCGACGCGTACTAATGACAGTGACGCCACCGATGTTAGTAACAATGCCGTCATGGCCCCTTCCTCATCCTCCTCCGTCGCCACAAATAAAACGATGACAACAAACACGTATACAAATAGTAGAAGTAATAGTAGTAGTAATGGGCATTGAGTTAGGAAAAACAAAACGAAACAATTTGAAACAATTGGGCATCAAAGTAGATCAATCAAGCAAAAAGACGTTTGAAATTTAGTAAGAAAAAAGAAAAAAAAAACAAATTATGGTGTTTACAACAATTTAATAAATGTTGTAATTAAGAAACACAAGCTTTTACAAATATTATTATTGAAAAATGTCAAACAAACATCTTCCAGAAACATTAAAAAACACACACACAACAATTATATACATACATTTATATTAAAATAGAAATTTTTTGAGAAATGAAAGAAGTAACACAAACACTTTAACACACATTTATAATTTATAAAGAAAACCATTTAAATATATACATACATATATACAATAGAGATATGTATAATTAGTTATATGTATTTAACCATAAACAATTTCACACACACACATAGAGGTTTCGTAAAATTTAGGAAAATATGGTGGTGATTTTAGGATTATTTGCAGAATTCGATGTTTGAAGTAGTAGTTTAAACTTTAAAGGCATTGCCAAGTTTTGTCTTTCTTTTAATCTCTAGTATTTGCTTAAACTTAGTTTAAACTAGAAATGCATTTTAATATAGAAAAATTTATTTTTTCACTTCATTATACAGAGTTTAAACATGACACATTTAAAACTGCCTGGCATCTATGCTGCATGCTTAGCATATTGCATGAGGGAGGATTTGCTCTTCCTTAAGGAACTGCCGTATCAGATATTACATTTAACTTTGAAAGGTTAATAGTTGAAACCAAGTTTATATAAAACAGTTTATATAAAACATTTAATTAAACTGTAAAAGTTAAGCCTTAAAGTGGAACCTTACTTAAACTATAGTTTCTGTGTTTTATTATACCATATTTTTGTCATTTTAATATCATTCTCTACAATTTTCTCTAATTGAAGCAGAAAGTATATTTATTAAAGTCCTCTAAAAATGGAATTCTGTCAGTTTAAAAGTATCCATCTCAGATCGCTCAAAATTCTTAGTTTAAACGAAGCTAAAACTTTAAATGCTGTCATTCCATTAAAATATTATCTTGTTTACAAGGGATGGTTAACTTAGCAACCGAAAATCTATGGTTAAACCATATTTTTTTTAATCTAATTTAACTAACAGTTAAGTTAGAAGAATAAAAATTGATGAAATAAAAATTTATAAATTAATGATAAAATTTAGCTTTTTCAAAAAAATATAAGGTATTAAAATCTAGGTTTAATAAAGCAGTTGTTTAAGTTAAACAATGTCTTCAACTAGGTTTAACTAAGAAGTTAAAAACTGACTATTTAACTATGTCAGACATTCGAAAGTTCGATAAATGTTTGAAGGTCATGAGGATTCCCTAAAAATATTTTAGAAAATTTTAAGTTACGTTCAGAAAACCTTAAAAATTAAAAAATTTTTGAAAATTCGAAAAGAATTTAGAATCGTTAAAAGATTCTTTATGTCCAGAGGTTTCATAAAAGTTTAATTTTAATTATATTTTATGCCAATTTCTTAGATTTTCCCAATTCGAAATTAAAAATTTTGAAAATAATTCATCAATTTTATAAAATTTTTAATGTAGTTGCAGAATATAAACTTTTTAAGGTATATTTGAAAATTCGAACTTAAGTTCGAAATTCGAAATTATGTTCGAAAAATGTTTAAGGTTTTAAAATGAAAGAGAATCATAAGAATTCATAAAAATATAATTTTAATTTTATTTTAGGTCAACTTTTCTAACATTTTCTAACAATTCGAACTTTAGCTTCAAAACTGTTGAAAAAATCTCGATGTAAGGAGAATTTGGAAATCGAAAAGAAATTTTAGTTTTATTTGAGGTCAATTGCGAAAATTTCACCATAAAATCTTCATTATATTTTCAATATTTTTTTTTGAAATCTCTATGTAAAAACATTAAAAACCAACAAAAACCGCCAGAATAAACTAACCACAACATAATAAATATATATATTTTTTCTTTTTGTAATTATTATGCTCTGCACTGCTCTCTCGCTCTCTAACTCTATATTTTTCTCTTATATATAACATTTTTTTAATAACAATTTAAAAACCAAGCTACATTTAGTAAATGTAGAGTAAAAAATTTGTATAAACAAATTGTTTAATACACACCCACACACTTATAAACAATATTTTTATTTAAATTTTTTTGTAGTTGAAACATTTTTATAACTGTTTTGTTGAAAATATTTAAATTTTAGCGCTTTTTTTTTGTAATTTTGAAGTAAGAAAAAGGAATATTTAGCTGTTATGTATTAAAAAAATATAGATTTTGTATTTATAAAAAAACACAAACAAAAAAACACCATATAAAACAAACAACCAATAACAAAACGAAATTAATTAAGTACTAACAAAAAAGTTAATAATTTCGTTTAGAGATAAAGAAAAAAAGTAAAAACTGAAAACAAAGTGAATATAAAATTTTATATTAATTTAACTTATAAAATGGCCATAAGTAAAAAAATCGAAAAATCTAAATTTTTTCTAATTATTAAGTTATAAACATTATTATACTTTAGGAACTAAAACTTAAATTATTTTTATGCAAAAAAACTTTTGGCTTGTAATTTTTTTTAAACAATTTTTGCTATAATCTCTTTTTATTTTAAATATTTGGTTTTAAAAATCGTTAAGTACTTAAAAAAAGAAAACAAAGAAACACAAAAAAAAAAAATGTTGTAATATACATAAAAAAATAACACAGAACATATAATAATTATCATTTATACCAATCCAAACACATTTTTAAATACATAAATGTATTATATATATATTGAGCCAAGTTTAAAACAATTTTTTTAAAACTGTTTTTTTTTTTTATAAAATAATTATAAAAAATAAAAAAAATCTTGCCAACAATTTTTAACGTTTAATTGTGCTACAGGACTCTCTGCCTCTTTGGTAACTGTGTCTAATGTTTAATTATGAATTGATAGAATTGTTAAAAAAATTGATGTCCTTTTTAAAAGTAAGATCCAAATACACGAACATTTTTTTCTATTGCTTCGCTCAATATTCTAAAAAAAATAATAAATAAAAAATTAAAAAGAAATCACGTAAATTAATATAAACGAGTAAAAAATATTAATAAACGAAATTATCACAACACAAAAAAAAAAAAAATAAAAAAACTTAAAAAAATATATAAAATCTGTTTGTTGTTTTTATTTATCTAGTGAAAATTAGGGTACTTTTGGTAAAAATGTAAATTTTTAATGAAATTTCATTTCATTTTCAAATAAAAATTTTAATGTTAACAAAAATTAAAAGTTTTGTTAAGTAATATTTTTCTAAATTTAAAAAATTGTTTGATCATTTTATGATTCGACTAAAAATTGGATTCTAGATCAAACATAAAACCAATCATTTAGGATTTCATTAAACCTAATTCAACAATTATTGGTAATAAAACTTTTAAACCATAGGTATTAAATCGAATAATAGCGATAACAGTTCAATACCTATTGAGAAGGATACTGAAACATCCGTTACCTTATTCGAAATTTTTCGTCAAGACAAAAATAAAGTATGTATGTATTTCAAATGAATTGAAGTATCTTTCGTTTAAGATAAATAATGTATAGCAAATATTTTCATTCAAAATATATAAATAAAAACAAAAATTTCCTTAAATTTCAGAAAAATTTTACAAATTTTTCTATATTTTAAATATAACGTTGACAACCTTTTAAAAATAAACATTTCTTTAACACCCTGTGAGATGCCATACAAATGCAAACATAACAAACACCCCCTGTAGCGTTTTTTCTTTCCAACTTCTTTCTTTTTAGTAAAGTCACTATATCACAAAACGGAACCGGCTAAATGTTTGCAAAAAAAAGTTAACAAAAAAAAAACGCAAAATTTTTTTTACAATTTTATAATTGCCTAATTTTTTAGTTAATTTTATAAAAATATTACCTTTTTTAATGTTTATAAAATATTGTATATTGTTATTTAACTTTTTAGTGCGTATAATTGAATTAAAAAAACTAATTTTATAATTTTCTCATACAAAATCGCTAGAATTGCTTCAAATGATTCTTCATCCTATGAAAAAGAAGTCACTAAATTAACCACACTAACCTGACAAAATATTTGCAAAAAAAAAATACAAGAAATAGAAAACCGTGCAAAAGTTTTTTTTATAGAAGGAAAAGCAAAAGAAAAATAAACAAATTAATACGTACTTATATATAGAACTTATATATTTAAAAAATATATAAAACAATTGAATTGTAATCAGTGAAAAACAATAAAAACTACAAAAAAATACCTCCTCCAGCAGACAATAGTTCAGCAATTGAAACAAAACACAATTCATTGATTTTTATAATTTTACACAGCAGAACAGAAAACGAAAAAGGAAAAACAGGGAAAGAGTTGTAAGAAAAACATTATGGATTCTGCCGAGAACAAACCACCAATTTTACATATTCTGGTAGTGGGTTTTCATCATAAATTGGGTTGTCAGGTATGAGTTAATGACAGTTATCCGGAATTTTCTTTATAACATAAGATTTCTTCTTAACGTAGGTGGAATTTTCCTACCCCCCTTTGGTAAAGGGTACAACGGGCAAAAATGAATGCCCTTCTGGTTGGAAATATCTGTCGACCTTGGCCTTGCCAGATGGTTCACACAATTTCACCGAGGACACAGTATTTTTTAATCTACCCAGTCTAACAGATCCTACAGAAAGTGTTTATGGTGTGTCGTGTTATCGTCAAATACCTGTGGAAAGACTGAAGATACGTACAGCTGATGTTACGCGTAGTACGGTACAGAAATCTGTTTGTTGTTTGGCCCGTTTACCCATATACGGTTATATAGAGGTGAAACTAGCATTGATAGCTGATGCCTTTTTTGAAACAGGCGATTTTTCTAGCACTGATCTCTTGGTCAAGGCTTATCAACAACTGAATGCTTGTTTACTGAGCGATGAGTCACGTCGGCCACTGCGTCATTTTCATGTGGGTTTATCTTTACGTGAAATTGTTCTACAATGGCGTCACAAAACCTTGCAATTATTTAAACTGTTTCTGCTCCAAAGGCGGGTGGTATGTTTTGGTTCCCCGGTACGCAATATGTGTGCTTTGATTTTGGGCATTTCATCTTTGATACCACGACTCTTGGAGAAGGGTTTTCAAGAGGTGGCCTGTGTTAGAACTTCACGTCCCTTATCACCCATGCCGGATTATACAGAATCTTTAATTAAAGCTGACGATTGTAGGGAGGGAGTTGAAACTGCTTTTGAGGAAAAGGAGGATTTAAAAACGGAAAAAGAGGAGCCTATTTTGACATCTGATATTGATAGTTGTGCTACTGCTGTGGTTGGTGGCGGTGGTGGTGATAGTGTGGACAATACTTCTTGCAGTATTATGTCCGCCACTACAGAAAGTATTAAATCGAATAATAGCGATAGCAGTTCCACACCCACGGGTAAGGATGCTGAGGCCTCAGATGCCTCTTCATTGACAAATGTATCGGTAGAAGTTGGTGGTAGCAAACGTTTAGAACGTAGTAATTCATTTACCCGACAACCCAGTGAGGATACATCATGTAAGTATATTATAATTTTCATGATTATTTTTATATTTACAATGAAATTTTGTTATCTAAGTTTTATATAAAAAATACTGTTTTTTTTATAAAACCTTTGATAAAGTAAATATTGTTACAGCTGAATTAATGAATTGCTCGGGGGTAAAGTTTAATCTTGTAAGAGACCACCCTACCCAAACTGTGAAAATGTTATAATGATTCATCCAAAAAAACATATGTGTGATATTGAAGGACAAAGAAAATGAAATGTTCTTTAAGATTAATCTTCATTTACTTATAAGAAAAAGTTTAGTTACTCAATGTAAAGTTTAATTTTTATTAATAAGCATTTTTTAGAGGAAGTTTTGAGTTTGATAGGGTTACTTCAGGAAATCTCGACCTTGATAGCAAAAGGTTTCTTAAGGAAATCTTGAACTTGATAGCGAAAAGTTTCCTTAGAAAATCTTGAGCTTGATAGCGGAAGGTTTCTTGAGGAATTATTGAGTTTGATAGCGAGATTTCATAAGGAAACCTTGAGCTGGAGAGCGAAATCTGTCGCTAGATCTTTAGAAAATCTTGGGCTGTTTAGCATTAGTTATAGAAGTCTAGAATGTAGATAAACCCACATTGCTAGAGTTTTCTTAACAATTTTTATAAATAGCGATATTATGGCTTAATATTAAGATACTTCGTTTATTAACATAAATCCTAAAAAATTTCTTCCATTTCTTTTCCAGCCATTGCCACCCTCACCGCTTTAACTATGGTCAATCCGGATGAGTATCGTGCGCCCATTTCAATATTTGCCAGTGGTAATCTTTGCTTGCCTTATCTCTCGTTGCCATATATGGATCTTCTCACTGATCCTTCGGTACTCAGTTATGTTATTGGTACCTCTAATGTATTGTTCCAACAAAAACACCACTTGTCCGAGGTTTTGGTGGATATTGAAAATGGCAATCTCGATATACGTGATTCAGAACTAAGAAAACAATTAGTTTTAACTACAGAAGATCTTAGATTTATGGATTTTTTGCTGAAACATGTTCATGCGCCCAAAGAAGATGCCGAGGGTAGTGAACATTGGATACGTAATCAATTTCAAGGTTATACTTTGGCTTTATTGCGTACCACAGTGGCCACTGATGCCACCTCTAAAGATGCTGATCATTTTAATATAAATTTCATGAATGCATTTCAAAAGACACAATGTTTTCAAGAATGGTTTGATGTTAAACCGGATACAGAGTTTTTTGAGCAATTGCCAGCAGGACATCCATTTTCGGGTACTTTATCGGTGGCGGATATGAAATTGAAACTGGCACAGTAAGTATACTAAAAGTTAAAGGTTTATATTTAGGTTTATATTGTTAGTTTAATCTAATTTTCTTTTAAAGAACCATGCAAAACAGTGAAAGTGGCCGTAAAATAAATCAAGCTGTTAACAACACTAGTCGTGCTGTGGGCGGTGCCATTTCTCAAGCTAAAGGCGCCTTTTCCTATTGGTGGTCCTCCATTACTACGACGCCTAACAACTCGGCATCCCCCTCCTTAGATTCTGGCAATGCGGCCGAAGCCAATGCAACTCGTGGCCAGGAAATCTCTGTTACATTCCAAAATAATTCCAATGAAGATAAAATTGAAGTAGGTATTAGTGTACACACCGAAGAGGGTGTAGTTTATAAGAAAATCAATGAGGACGAATCAAACCAGGGCACACCAATTAATAAAGCCACCAATAGCAGCCAAGAAGAGAAACTAATTGATAGTGCTGAAGAATTAATGGAAGAAAATCAATTGGATAAAATAAAACCTAACATAAATACAAATGAAAATCAAACTATTAACCCTGAAACACAACCCCGACGTGGCATTGTAGAAATAGGTAAAGAAGCTGAAGTACTAGATAAAGAAGACAATAAACAAAATGATCATTTAAAGAATTGTGGAGCAATTGAGGCAAATGATACGACAGCTGCTACTAATACTACTACCACTACAACCTGCACAAATGGGGCTATTTTTATAGTATAATAAAGAAATCGTTCTTATTAATTGACGTTAACGTTGACATTGTGTTTATAAACAGGACCTATAACAACTCCCTTAACTCCTCAGTGCATCTTTTTTCTCATTACGATATTTATATACGATATATATGATATATAATTTATATTTTTGTTACCTTATTATTTTTATATAAGTACATAATAACCTCTCCCATAATCCCGTTTAAAAATGGTAGTAGACATTAAACAAAAAAAGTATAATGTTAGAATGCTACTCCTATAACTTTTGATAAGTTATTTTTGGTGATCTCTCTTCTAACTCCCTCGTTACCCTTATACCACAAGAGTCCCTATTTTTGAAAACAGTTTAATATATACTATAACAACTTTGTGTGATCAAGTCCGAATTAGCACAACTGTCAGTTATTGAGTGCATTTCAATTAATTCACACCTAGTTGTTTATGCATATTTTAAATTGTTAAGCATTCTGCTAATTATTTGTTTGATGTTCTTTAAGAAAAATTACACAAAATATTTATTAAAAAAAGTAAACAAATTTGTATAATTGATTGAACTGGATTTATTAAGAAAATGCAAAAAAATTAATAAACTTTTTAAAATAACATGTTTAAATAAAGAAAAGCAAAAAGCCAAAGCTAAAAAAAAAACTATAAAAAGGAGAAAATGTTTTTTTTTATTAAAAAATACTCATTTGAAAAGGTTTCAGATTTCAGCTAACTAGTGAGATATACATATCTTCAGGGACATTTTTGCTATTTAGTGTAAATCAGCAGCAAATCTTGAGCGTGATAGCGGAATTTTTCTTAAACTAATGAGAATTTTTAGTAGTAGAGAGATTTCTGGGTTAAAATTTTGAGCTTGAAAGCAAGAAATTCCCTAAATACATATATCTCGAAGAAATTTTGAGCCTGAGCGAGTGAATCTTCTGAGCTTGATAGCTAAAGATTTCTTTGGGAAATTTTTGTTTAGATATAATACTTAACAAGTAAGCATGTGTAGCCGGACATGGCCGACCATATGATATCCTACACCAGTGAATATGTTAAAAACGTGGATTAATTTTCTAAAAATAAAGCATTTTACCTTATTTCCGAAATATTTGTTGCCAAAAAAGTGATTTCCTGAAAGAGGGTTATATGGGGGCAAAGGTAAATATGGTCCTATCTTATATAAAATTAGAATTTGTCAGTTTTTTTAGAGATTCTACAACATTTCACATAATTATAAGCTCAAAAGCCCTATTCGGAGGGTACAGTTGTATGGGGGTAATGCGAAATAATGGACCGATTTCAACCATTTTCATTTGGCTTCATTCAAAAGAAGAGTATGTGCCAAATTTCATCATATTAGCACACAAAGTTTGCATGGTCACACTGACGTACATAGCTTAATCGACTCGGAAAGTAATTCCGAGGTATACTTTAAGGTGGGTGTAGGACCAATATTTTTGGGCGTTACAAACATCAGCACAAACGTATAATAACCACCTCACTATGATGGTGTAGGGTATACAAAGTTAGAATAATTGATTTTGTTTTGGACTTTAGCAATAAAAGTACAATTGTATCAACTTTCCCAACCCTGTATGCATATTTTAACAGCTACGTACATATTTACTTTAACAGCATAAGACAAAACATTCGTATGCATATTGTTGACAACTAAGAGAACTCAATAATATGGAAATAAAAAGGATGCCGTACAAAATTTGCCAGATTTGCGGAATTTTACATCAAATTTAGAACTAAAATATTAAGGATTTTTTGGGAACATGTGAAGATTAAAATTAATTTTAAATATTTATTTGAGATATTGGAAGTAAGAAGATTTTAAATTTATTCTAAACTTTTAGTTTTTTTCGAATATAACAACTATTCTGCATTTCAATTCGAATCGAAATTTTCTCCGTTTGGCCACTTTGGTATTCTGCATTTCGATTCAAAGCTTCGTCACTAAAATAACAACTTACAAAAACGTAGTTACTATCGTAAAGCATTCTGCTTTTTCTTACGATTAGGGTTTTTGTAGGAATACCTATTTTATTTGTGGGTATTTTAACAAACAATATCCGGCAACACTACAAAGATGTTTTTTTTTTGCTATCAATTAAGTCTAATTAGAAAACTACCAATTAGAACAAACTTTATAGCGTGTATCACAATGCTAATTTATAATGAAAGACCAACTAACCATGTGTTTAGAAAATCCCCTAAAAACTTTAAAGAAAATAACAATTTTATATAACCAACCCTGCAACACCCTTAATAAATGCCGTTATGTTAGTATGGGTGTTTATTGGTGTTTTTGTTGTCTACTAAAATAAAATGTTTGTTGTTGTTGAGTATTTTCAAATGGCAACATTCTTTTATTCTTCTACTTTTTATTTTAGTTTTGTTGTTGCTGTTTTTGTTGTCTTCTTCCAGTGAGATTGCATGTGTGTTTGTGTGCAGTTCTTCTGTGTTTTTTTTTTGGACAAACAGGCTCTTTTAGTGCGAGAAGAGTCGTTTATTCAGTTTGAAATTTCAAGTCAATGAAGTCTGTGGTAAACTTCAAGTTCGCGCTGTTACCGCGACTAAAGTTGTCTGGAAAAGATGTAAGTTTCTTGTTGTTTGTTAGATAAAAAAAATAAATTTTACTTGAATTTAGATAAAAAAAAGAAAAGTGCAATAGTTTTCACCTAAAAATTCAATGCTTTTTTACGTTAATTTGTGTTAAAAATTATGTTCAATTTTCTAATCACAAGGTGTTTTTTGTGTTGTTTTAATAAAAAAATAGAAAAAATCAAGAAGACAGACAACTTTAAAGTTTGTTGCATAATTTTTTCATTTATTATACATAAAAGTTATACCTTCCATTTAATACATTTTCGTGAGTGGTAACTAAGGAAAATACAAAAATAAAAGGTTTAATTAATCCCTCTGCTAAAATTTTGGTTAGTGAAATTTATTTAAATTGTGAAATTCATTTACATTTATAATTCAATTCATTTACATAAATAAAAAAACTTAACAACGTAAGAAAAGGATGAAAAAAAACCAAGGGCGTTTGTACAAAGCCAAAAGAAAGAAATTATTTTTTAGCATATTTTTGCACATGGAGTTTTTTCTTAAAGTTCCTGTTCATTCCTGTCTGTGTTTTTTTTCCCTAGAGTGTAATGATGCGACAATGAATACAACGACGACGTCAACGGCAACATTATTGTCTACAACAATAGTAGTATGTTTATTATTATTGTTGTTTTTGGTAAAATCGATAACAAGAAATTTCTTCTTATTTTAACAATGTTTGTTGTTATTCATTCATACAAAGGAATTGTAGAAACAAAAAATAACAACAACAAAACTTGCATACAATTAAGTAAAATTTAAAAAAAGAGCATTTGAATGAAAAAATAGCATAAAGAAAAATCAATGTTAAAGTCTCTCTTTTCCTTATAAGAGCAATTAAGGGAAAATGTTAAAAGTGAGAATAAAAAAGATAAATATTTAGTGTTACGGTAATATAGTGTTGCCACTTAAAGTTATAGAAAACACCAGAATATTAAGGATATTTCTGAAGAAAATTAGGTGAATATATTTATATTTTTAAATAATTTGAAATAAATAATAGAATATTTGTTGTAAATTGATAATACAGTGTATTATATTGAAAAAATTATAAGAAATTTGTGTTATTTTCCGTTAATTTACTAAAATTTTAAGTGATTTTCTTCTTAAAATGTGTTTGTTATTTAGTATCTGAGAGAGTGTTAGTAAGAGACTCTAGTCTAATGACCAGTGTTACCATATGTCAAGTTTTCCCTTTTTTTGCAAGTTTTTTGAGATTCAAAAAAGTTTTCAAGTTTTATTCCAATAAAAAAAGTTTTTTGAAAATTTATACAGTTTTTCAGTTTTTATTTTATTTAATCAATAAATAAGTTTAAAATAAAAAAACAATGTTTACCATTAACAAAATAATATTTTATACCATTAATATTCGAGATATACCTAAAAACTGAAAAAAATTGACCGGTGTTGATTACCTTAGAATAGACGTTAAGGACACAATGCACTTCGACCATATTGTAGAGATTTTTTGCAGCCCATTGGTTCACCATACTAGGCTAAATTCGCGCATGAAGATAAATGGATTAATCGGTGAGTTTTTGAAGATATCATCTGGGTCTGGGTAAGATAAAATCTTCGTGTTTCGAGTTCCCAATGACGGGTAGTTACAAAAGTTCAGAGGTTTCCTCTTGTAGTACACAGAATCTACATAGATTCATCATGACATTTCAAGTGTAAATTTATGGTGTCTAAGACCACAATATCCAGTAATTCCTTGCTACTGATGTTAAAGAAAAGTTCTGTACCAATTATCATTAAGCTATTTAAAATTCCTCAATTTACAAATTTTTTCACTAATTTTTCTTGGGTATTTTGTAATTTTAGTACAAAAAAAGTTGTTTTTGTTGAAAAAAAGTTTTTTTCATAAAAATAAAAAGTTTTCTTCAAAAAAGTATATGGCAACACTGCTAATGACGCACTTATTGGCTGTGTTGCCATATGTATTGCAACGCTTTTCCCTTACAGGATGTTAAAGATATGTGTAGTTAATTATTAAGCTTTTCGAAATTCATTATTACCACATTAAGAAAGTTTCTTAAAGTTTAAAAAACCGCTTAATTTTTTTATAGTTTTACTAATGAATAATGGTATTTTATTAGAATCTCCCTTGGGGCCCTACAGTGAGGCTTGGGGAAAATATGCGGTCCATTTACATTCACACTATTTAAGTTTAACCTGACCCGAAAGTTTGTTTCCTGAGCTTTGCCTTTGTGAAAAGAATCTGCAGAAAAAAGATGTTATGAAAGTTGTGTTAATCACGACCCAGAGCAAAGGTTATGATCTTAAACTGAACAACACCAGACATTATAATAAGAATGTCTGGCATTACTAATACCGCAATGCGACTTAATGGCTCAAAATCATGGAAACATACATAACACACGATCATGCTAAAATCTGAGTTCTAGTCAATATAAATTTAATTCGGGTTTGGGTTTAGCATGATAGAGCTATAGAAATGGTTACCATTAACTACATATCAAGCTAATGCAGAGTAATTTACTGATAGCAAAGTTGTAAATAAATCTCTGGAGAATGTGTTTATCGATCGTGAAATAGTTACCGGGGTCTAGAATACGGACCTTGACTATAACATTAAAAGCAGACATTTCCGTGGGCAATGTCAAAAAAAGTTTCTGGACCATCAGCTACACATATGTACGTTAAAAGCTTTTGGTGAGCTAGGAAGTAGGTTTACTTGTTTGCTAGATTGATCATCATAGTCAGGTTTACATCACAATGTTGCCAAACAATTCACGATAAGTTTCAGAGTCTACTTCAAAATAAAGCTCTGAGCGAAATCTGACTTCATAAAACGATCGAAATATATTTTCCGTTAATGGTTAAAAAGAGGGTCCATAAACTGATCCCCGTTTGGTATAATGATCTTAAAAAATCTATGAGATTTCACAACAACTTTATAATATTTGCTTGGTTCTATAAATACAGCAAAGATTGAAACATTTTATATTGAATACCAATCAATGTGCATCAAAAGAAATTGTTTTTACAACTTTGTGAATGAAACAATAAAAATTGTATCTTGCTGTTGCCAAATTGCCGTGTATCCATGGACAAGAAATATCAAATTTTAAATACGTCAATGCGGGCGATATGATGTAATACTGTGTAATTGAACAACTACAAAGACTGTTGCTAAATACATATGTGTGGCCCTGAAGTTTACTTCTTTTACCTCTTAGAGGTACTCTGATAAATGTTCCACAGCAACTATGTTTGAATTTTGGCATAAAACCATAGGTCTCTTAGGTGTTCTAAAAATAACCCAACAAACTTTGTTTTAGACATTAAATGCGGATATTTCTAAATACCGGTTGAGATTAGCAAATGAATGCTAATTAATGGATTTTTACTACTTATACATTGGAATTTTAACACCATGATTTGGAGGCATGGAAACACGCTTGCTTATGAATAAGGAGTTAAATATGTAATAACAAAACTATGTTTAAGTAACTTTTTGATCTTGGGTCTGTTAGTCCGCAGTCGTACTCGCAAAGGTACAGGAATACAAATACCGAATAATCAAAAAATTGTGATAACACTACAATAAATCATTATTTATCTACTGTATATAAGTTATAAATTTTATGCTAAAACTATTTTATGTAAACTATTCATAATTTCCACCTTAATGTGTTAAAGTATTTAGATATCAAGCATTATAAATCAAGTCTACCGATGCATATGTTTAGGTTATTGTGGGTTTGAAATATATACGGAATTTTCACAGATGTGATTTTTTTAATATGAGTATCGTATTTATTAGCTTACCCTGCTAAAATGGATAGTACTCAGTACACGCTGGGACTGGTCCAAAACTAATCCAAATATACATATATGATATTCCTTTGCTAAAATAATGAGAGTACTTGATCCGCAATATGGTCCTATGCAATGCAGGCTATGGACCATGCTGTTTAAGAAAATAAACATGATCCACGGCTGCATTACATAATACTACTAAACGGACTATTTAGTCCAATAATGTTTACAAGGGAGTAGTTTGGGGTTTACCTAAATGAATTATATAATTCAATAATGCTTGCAGGGTATTTGATTAGTATTGGCAATACCCGGACATGTCATATAAAAAAGTCCTTTAGGTTCATACTAGAGACTTAAAATATCTAGTGCTACGAGCCTGAAAAATAAACTCTAGCCGCTCGACTACCCAGGTGACTAGGAGGTAGTCAATCATCACTCCATTACTAAGAGCTACTCTTAAGGAGCCAATTCTTGGCAACGACCCTTTTCTTTTAAGTGTCTACTATCTAGAATACTTGCGGACAGTTAAAAGACGACTGTCTCCTGTTATAAAATTTCCCAGCAGTTCGTGACGACAGTCCCAAACCACTTAGGGTTACCTCTAGCCACTCGACTACCCAGGGGACTATGAGAAAGTCAATCATCACTCCATAGATTACTAAGAGACAGTCGTAAAGCTACTCTTAAGAAGTCAATACGTGGCAATGAGCCTTTTCTTTTAAGTGTCTACTCACTAGATTACTTGGGGATAGTAAAAATACTACTGTCTCCGATTTTAATGTACTAACCAGGTGGATAGGCGTTAGTGGAAATGATTACTTACTTTTTTCGGAGGCATTGAACTGCTGAGTATTGTTCCAACAAAATCTTTTGAAGGCACAGGTTACTTCCTTGTCTTATTTTCTTAATTTTTGTTCGTGTGATAAAAATGTATATATTGTAAATGTTCAACATTGTTATGTTAACATTTAAACAGAGCTCTGTTAACAAATTTGGTTTGTGTCTAGGGTTATAAATGTTTATAATTAAACATAAAAGATCAATATTAGCAAATAGCGTGCGCCAATATTCGTTGTCGATTTGTAAACAAATCGAAATTATTGTTTTTTCTTTTTTGCATTAATTTTATCAATGTTTCCACTTTAAATACCCCGCAAAAATAAAACAACACAGCACGGCACACAACAAATTGCAAAAA